CTCCTGCTAAATAAATACCCATTGAGTATGGTAAGTGTAGCTCTCAACACATTAAATCCGTCCACAAATTAAAACAGCCAAAAGCAGCCATAATTGCCTCTAAATCATCCATTTAAGTGGTGATCACATTTGATTTCTCTACCATTGCTGCATTAATAATTTCCACTTGGCTGAGAACCGGGTCACAGACACTTCAGAAAGCCTTATGGGAGCTGAAACTTTGGTTCGAAGTAATTCTGGCAGTGCCTGGACTTATTCCCACCTAAAAGCTTGGCCTAGATAACATTCTCGTTTCCTAATCTAACACATAAATCTTCAGCCTTTTTTCTTACCTGTCAGAGGGGGATGAGATTAAAGAGAAATGTATATATAGGTGAGTTTGTATATATGTAGGTTATGAAATTGTGCTGAGAGTGTTGCCAATGGGCAGATTGGGTGTCTTTCTCCTCACTATATGCATAATTCCTGAGAGACTGGGCAAGTGTGTCAAAACTCACCATCTCAATGCTCATTTTTAATCTCTCTTCTCCTGACCTATTTTTTGCTTTGCCCTGGTTGAAGACCAGCCTCCCTGCTGCAGGTGCCAATTAATCAAGAAGCTACATGCAGTAGCTTTCTTCAAATACTGTGCTACCTTCCCCCATGTCACCAGGGAGGGTACAGAGGGTACTGTGCAGCATCCTGAATGGAATTGCAGAGTGTTGGTAATGCTGAGAGAAAATTTTAAGATATGATGGGAGAGAGCTAAATTTAGTTTATCCATAGACAGGGAAACAATAATAAAGGCTTTTTAAAGAGATTCAATATATGGAACATTGATATGGAAGCAAAAGGACAAGCAGCTTTTGTAAATGTGGTGAAAGGTATACTTCAAAATCATGTTTTGTTTCTTACTTTAACGCTTCAAGTGAGGAAAAGGTAAAAAACGGTCAGATATAATCTGGAAATAAGGTTTTCATGGTGCCTTTAGATGACCTGTTTGCCAAAAGAACGGTTTGTAGATCTAGTCAAGAGTAGCTCATGTAGATGAGTCTTTATTACTTTATCGTAGATAAACATGCTTTACCTTTTTGATATTCTTTAAGTAGATGAAAATAAGAACAACAAGACCATTTAAATTATAATTATGATGACATAATTAGAAGTACACACAATCAGCCATTTAAAAAATATATACTATCAGATGTAATCAGCATACCTGCTTATTAATACATCTGGAGTGAAACTATGCCTTCTTTGAATTTTATAATATACAGGTATTTGTTAGTGCGCTTTAACAATTTGTGCTTTTTTTTCCTTAATAATGAATTCACTATCTTTATACACACCTTATTTTGGTTTGTTTTTGAAGTAGCACAGAAAATGGCCTTTTCTACAAAACCAGTCCAATTGTTTTTATTATATACAATTACCTTGGAGTCACCAGTTATATGTGTCCAATATCTTTACTGACAACTAAAAATCCGGCAGGTAATTATTGAGGAGGAGGACGAACCATAGACAGATTCCTGCACCCTACCCACCATCAAATCATTCATCTTTTGAAATTTCACAAACCTGACGATCCTATACACATTAATTCACTGTCAACTGAGAGAGAGGTGCGTTCCTCACAGACAGCACTGCACACCTCAGGAAGTGTCAAGAGGTCAAAGCTACAGGGTGGAGCCGAGACAGACCTGGCTGATTTATTATAGCCCAACCCTCTGCGGCACTTAGCTAGTTGTGTGCTGCTTATGGGGAGTCCTGGTCCCAGTCAACTAGTGACATATCGATTTAGAAGTTACAGCAACACATGAAAAAATTCAAACACATTCTATGCATGAACAATCTATGTCTCTGTCACCCATTCTCTTAAAATTATGAAAATATTATGTGCTATAATTGTCACGAAAGCGTTCTTTCCGGACCCTATGCGGACAACATAATCCGGGGTTGAGTGAGGAAACACTGGGAAAAAATCATGCAGGGTACGGGAATAAAAACAGGGGGGCGTGTCCAAGGAGTGCTGGTGGTCGGGGAAGGTGTAGCGAGGCAAACAATCCAGGGACGAGTCCAAAGAGAAGTCCAAAAACGAGGGAAAAGTCCATGGCCAGGAGATCTATCCGAGACAGGTGATTAAAAACCAGAACCGGGTCGGGACAGGCAGGGGGAACGCAAACAGGAACAGAAACTTTAAACCACGAAGGAGCTAGACGCATCCAGGACCCGGGCTCGCATGATACAGGAACCATTGCAGAGCTGAGATTGGCGTCTGCGTCTGGCTTTTAAAGGGGGAACTGAAAAGGGGCTGGAACAAGGAACAGGTGCGGGGAATGAGGCAAACAAGGAAGGGCTGGAGCGACCTTAAGAGGAGGGGTTTGCGATCGTGACAATAATAGGAGCAGGGAAGGCGAAGACAAACTTTTTTAGAGAAAAAAGCTACATATACTGTACAGTAAAAAAGATGAAAAAGTAAGACAAAAGGGAATGTACTGGAAAATTAGCAGTGGTAACTGTTAGTTGAGTCTGATCTAATGTTGTCCCATAGCCATCATTTGTTTTTGTTCAATTTTATTTTTATCTTCTTAACAGCTATTTTTTTTTGCTCGTAAGCAAACTTTTCCGCTTATGAGAAATTTCCTGCACATCCAGTGATTGATATCCACTGCTACTGAGACTGCTTCGGCTGACTCACTGACTTCAGTTTATTCCCGGACCACAGTGGTCAAAGAGACTGCTGGCTAACATAGTGTCATAATCAGTGGTGAATGAGGCTGAGTAGCAATGCCAAGCTGCGCTATAAAAAGGGGTAAAGAGTTTGTATGTAGTACACTGTAGGCCTGTGAGAGTTGAGTTGACAGGATAGGTGAGATACTTTTTTATTAGCATCAAGAAATAACCAAGAAATAATAACCAAGAAATTCTGTATTTTTACAGCATTAATAACAATGTTGTAAAAAACAGTGTATCAGATTGCTGTATCAGAAGGTCATATTAAGCAAAAAGGCATGACGAGAATCTACATTTTCCTGCTATTTACATACTGCAATATAAAAAAATCCAAATGCAGTTTTTCTGAAATTATGAATTCCAGTTTACAAGTAGTAAACTGAGCAAAAGGCAAATCGGCACGGACCACATGCGACTGACAAAACTGCCAAGAACACACATAGGTTGTGAAATACTCAAAGATAACAAAGCAATCAGTAAAAAAGTGATGAAGCCTAGCATCTTAAAATGTACTTTAAGATTTTGGATTAAATAATGAACATGCAAGATTGGTTTCACTGACTTGCTGATTAATGCAAAATCATTGAAGAAGGTCACTTACTAACATGTTTCTGTATCCCTTTTAGTTTCTATACTTCTGTATTTAATAATGCCATTATATCCACTATTTCAGTGCATTGTCTGTGCACCCAGGCAGCAGTTCATTTGGTTTAGCAGAACAATGATTAATTGTGCTGCCAGCATGTAGGTTTTTTTTTTTCATCTAGAAACACTTTGTCATCACTGTTTCAACAATAACTTCAAGTTCTTGCACTACAGGATATGAAGTCAGAAGGATGTTTTTTTTTTAGAAGTTGAAACGATTTTTGTTTAAAATCTAGTAAAAAAAACCCCGACTCTGTTGTGCTTATTCAGTAAATCATTCAGACTTATGTTCCCTCCATTTTCTTTCTTGAAGAAAATTTATTCACTACAGTGAATTTCTACAAATATGTTTTAACTGTTATTTAATTTAAGCTGAAATTGAAAAACCAACAAGAGAACAAATAAGGCCCCAGCTTATTGTCTTATCTAGTACACTTAGTGCACTGTAGTAGATTATTGGTTAACCTGTACTGAACATTTTAATTTTTACAAAATCACTTGCATAGGTTGATATGTACAATGTCGAGAGCTAATGATAGAGAAGAAAACAAAGCAAAAAAAATATTGGATGTGTTTTATTTGAGAAATCAAACACAGTGCTGAGAAATATACAAGCTGAGACCTATTCAGTCTCATATTAATTCAGTTGAGCAATTAGAAATCTCTCTTTAAAAGAATGGTTACTTTCTTTTGCAAAAAAAAACTATTCAATAATAACTTATTTCACTAAAACTGTTTATAATATTATGGAGTGTCCCTTACCACCTCATAATTTTTCATTCATGTTAGTTTGCAGAGAAACACATTTTCAAGAAGCGTGTAGCATAGATTCAGACAAATGTTTTAGGCCTGATCATTACAACTCTATAGATACAGTATCCATACCTAACTGTTTTCTTTAACTACGCTTTCTTTTTTGTATATAGGTATAAATATAACTGAAAATATCTAGACACTTTTCAAATCTAATATAAAACAGACCCAGTATATACAAAGGCAAAATCTCTCTAATCTGATGATAGAAACCTTTGTGCAACTCAGTGATCGTAGATTCCAATTGTAGATTCCAATCTTCCTTAGTGAGTTCCAACAGCACACCTGCCTGTGCCAGGCAAGCATGAGAGTTCCAACAACCTGAAGAAGGCTCCACAGCCTCCATTAGACAAAACTGTTAAAGAGTAATTCACTGAAAATATCTGCAGCACAGACATTTATTGTCAAAAATGTGTTCTCAATAGCTTTGTTTTATTGCTTTATTTTATTATTTTGATTGATTCCCTTTTGTTTATACGCTTATTTGGGTTCTCAGACCCTATATTGGATTACCAAATTTCCTTATACCAAGTTCTTATCCTAATGATGATTTAGTATTAATACAGTTGGCTACACCTTTATGATTTATATCATTTATTGCATTCTTATAACTTCATACCTTAATTAAAATGTATGTAAGTAAACCCTGTCTCAGTCATATATGATGAATATTTTTCAACTGCATTATGAGGAGTAACAGAAAATCTTTTATGAGAAATCACAGCAAGGTTTCTAAACAATGAATGTCTAAGATAACTGGCGGTGGGGGGTCACATTTTGCAGAGCAAAAAGACCAATGAGTTCAAAGTCTTTCCCCGTGTTTTCTCTAGGCGTTCCTTCAGGCCCTCGAAATGTGATCTCCATTGTCAACGAGACCTCAGTCATCTTGGAGTGGCACCAACCTCGGGAGACAGGCGGACGTGATGACGTGATATACAACATCATCTGCAAGAAGTGCCGCACAGACCGTAAGGTCTGCTCCCACTGTGATGAAAATGTGGAGTTTGTGCCCCGTCAGCTGGGCCTCACCGAGACTCGGGTGTTCATCAGCAACTTGTGGGCCCACACGCGCTACACCTTTGAGATCCACGCAGTAAATGGAGTGACCAACAAGAGTCCATACCCTCCCCAGCATGTCTCCATCAACATCACCACCAACCAAGCTGGTGAGTATATTGTATACAGTACATATTATACAACATACTATATATCCCGAGGCTTTCATTATCTCCCTAAAGCTCCCTAAAGGAATGTATGTAAGAAAAACTGGCACCCATCATCTTAATGTAATCAGCGAGTGCAGATTGCTTTCAAGATACAAGATGCTTCACCTCTAGTAGGAAAGCTACAAACCAGCAAGGAATCTGACAAATTGAAAAATTGGGCTGAAAAAAAAATCTGAAACCCAGATTTCTTATTGGCCAACAACAATTGCTTGACGTTAGGTTGCCTAAATTTAAACACTTTTCTTTCATAATTCTTTGGAAATGTTGATAAAAAAAATCAAATTAAAATATCTAAAAATTGTTTTTTTTCAGACTTTTTACAAGCATATTTTAGCAGAATTACTTACTAGAATTACCAAAGTGATTTACATAAATAAGAGGAACTTATGTGAAGCACCCATAATATCTTAACACACAGCAAATCAGGGAGAGAAGTGAGAAACTGCCATATCAATTGAAAATCGTCTATTTAGGCTAAGTGATGCAAATCCAAAATGGAATTTAGGAAGTTAACACCTTCACCTGTTAACATCCTTTATATTATAAACAGTGAAATCTTTATTGAGCAAGTCAGAACATCAGTTTAATACAGGACGAGTCACCATACTGAGACAGTGGTTTGGAAATTCTGGTCTAGAGAGAAGAGTGTCACCAAGCTGTGTCCCAACACTGGTAGTAACAAAAACCTGGTTTTCTTTTTAGGTTTCTCATTCCAGTACTGCCTCAGCCTTGCTCATCTTATGAGATCTGATGAAATCAGGCTAGAAAGTGGTACTTAATAACACCACTTCTGTTACAGATACTGCTGGTAGCTTAGAGATGACAAACTTATCTTTTCAAAACGTAGCACACTTGGAAAGACTTCCTCTGCCCTACAGGTTTTTTTAGTAAAGCCTATGTGTAAAACAAGTATAAGTTAATTTGATGTCGGAACATAAAAAGAAGTAACACAGCATTTCAGCTAAAAACTAAGTGAACAATCGTGCATGTGAATCTCATTGAACACTCTCAGACATTCAAACTATGTCATTATCTTTAGGTTAGTGGTTTTGGCTTGTAGATACGTATCTCTTATAGGTAGACCTTGAATGACAAACTTATTCTGCTCGTGGCTTCTGATAGCTTTAAACCTCAGCCACCAGAAATGACAAGCATGAAAGGCAAAGTTCCTTTAACTTTCATATATATTTAAAGAGCAATGCATTCACTCCATTATGTACTGATATGAGGACCAAAACTAGATTTTAAACAGCCTTGTCAAGAGAACATTTTCATTTGTAAATCTTTTTTAAGAGGAATCAAGTGTAAAACTGACACCAAGCTTTATTTCTCGGATGGAGGCTGTTAGATATGAGTTGTTTGATACCAATACACAGAATGAGGTTACTTGCCGTAATAACTGTAAATATCCCATGGGAGGAAGCCCGTATTCTTCCAAGTACACATATGCTGTCAGCGACCAGCCATTTGTCTGCTTCCTGTTTTGCAGTGAACTTTGATCTCTCTGGATTGATGTGGGTGTTAATTTATATGAAGACAACTGGGCTGCCAGTTATGAGTTGTCCCATGACAGTTAGCTAATTATTTTCTGCCATAAGATGGAACCCATTTCGTAAAAAATAAAGAAATGAATAATCATTTCAGGAGACAAAAATGTTACAGTTGTACCAATTGAATGAGCAAGGCCAATTATTTTTATTTTAACTTTTTTCATATTGAGTCACAATACACCAGAAAGTAGGAGAATGAATAGCCACCCACTACTAATAAATCCGGATTTTCTCAGTTAAGTTCAAGAGGGCTTCTATCCATTGATTTAGGAGAATGCTTTCTAGTGCAGATAGAAAAATCACTCTGATAGTCACTCAGTTCTTCTTTTCCAGACAAGATTGCAGTCTTACTGGACTCAAGTGCCAATTAGTGCTGGTTCAAGTATGTAAACATATTTAACTTGTTAAACAACACCTTGTATTCAAACTGTGTTTTAAGTAAGTACAATTTGCCATGGAATTAAACCAGGAAAGCAGATGGTTTAAATGCCGGATCAAAACAGGATCAAATCTCTGTTTTCTGAAAGTAATAGTACACGTTAAAGATGGAAAAGGTACAAAGAAAGTATTAGGCATGTAGTGTTTTCATTCAAATTTGCTTTGAGATTTTTTAATACTGAAAATAAATGGGGACATTTTACACATTTTGTTGGTAATTACCTCACTATAGTTGTTTAATGCTGGCTTAATGTTTTCATATTTTGTAAGTAAAACGTGGCATGATGTAAGGATAGTGCAAGTTGAAATAGACTGCATCTGTAAATATTACAGACAAAAGAAGATTTTAATGCAGGTTTAATCATATAATAAAAAAAACTTTCTATTTGAGTTGTTTTACATTTATCAGCTACATTAAGGGCGAAACATATAGCAGCTAATTATGTTACCACAAATCTCATGCACATTTAGCAATTTCTAGGCTTTATAATAGGTAGATTGAGTCTAGATATATAACAGTGAATTTCACTACTGCAGTAAATATTAACTTCAGAGTCCTTTTAAAATTTTGAAGGAAAAATGTATACTCTATGGTCATTTTAAATTCATTTTTTTATGTGTAATGACTTCCCTATTTTTTTTCTTTTCACAGAAGACAAAGGTAAATTATTCAGTGCTTAGTCTTTCTAAAAAATAATTTTACTGCAGTCTGAGATTACTGCAAGCCTGTCTCACCTCTGACTTGTTCATCTCTCTCTGATTTGGTTTGACTGAATCTTGGTTGTTGAGGAGACAAATAACTTTGTGCTAATGTTACAGTTCCGACAGGCGAGAAAGATGTTTTAGAAAGCTTGGACTTCCCTTGTTTTAAGCTGGGGAAGCATTGCATACTCTGCGTTTTTTGGAGTGGTTTCTGCTTAAAGGCAGACTCTGTTTTTGACATGATTCTTTGACATGCTCTGACAAAATTAAGTGATATTTTACTATATATATATAAATAATATACAATATTATTAATTAATAATATGTGCTATGACCAGTTATAACATGTTTTATGCATTTTGGTTTTTGCAGGGTTTTGCAAAACTTTTCTTCCTGATAAACGTGAGTTAAATGTGAAAATCAGTCCTATAGTCAGATTTTTAGACTTTTATTAGACATAATGGACAGGTTAGAAATCCAGGATCTCCATGTCTTTCTGCAAATTGACAGTAATAATACATTAAAACTGTACTCATTATATGGCCACAGAACTATCTAACATTTTCCATAGGATGAAGGCTGGCGTGAACCACACTTGGTTACTTCTAGTATAACTGTGGTTTATATACGACCTTCACTCTATAGCTGTTATTTAAAATGATGCTGAGTTTGACATATATTTGGTTATTCAGAAATGCTGCATCCAACTGTATGGTGACATCAAAACTCTGTGATGTACTGTTTAACCACAGCATAGTAATGGAAATGTGAAGGTCTGTGCCTCCCCAGCACTCACAACACATGCATCTTAGTGTCAAACAACGCATCTTAGTGTCAAAGATGGCAGAGCCTGTTCTGTTAAGGCTGAGAGGACTGTAATATAAAAGATCTGCACGAGACAATAACTGTTTGAGAGATCTCACTCCCATTTATGTGGTTTGCATTCTTCTGACTATAAGTGTCATTGTTAAGAGTAACTACTGTATGTGATGGATTTATTGAACAGTCCTCCAGAGCTTTAGTTTTCCTGTTTTTTTTTCCTTTCCATATCTTCTTCCAATTTTTACGTTTCGTTTTTGTGATGCTTTAACACCATCACATGATATATGAAAAACGTGGTGCTTTGGAAACACAGCAAACGGTTTTTATAGTTAACAGAATAAGGGCATGAGCAGGTAAAAAAATCTGACTGTGATAATGGATATACTTGGAGAAAACATAGACACAGGAGCATTATCATATTTTTAAGTATTTCATATTAGATTATTAAGATTGCTATTATTCCTGACTTTTACAAAGAAAGGAGAAAAAAAATCACAAATTGCTCATCTAAATAGCCTTGATTATCAGGGAAGCTAATGGTCTAACTGTCCCTTTTGACAGGGTAAGTACTCTGCTTGACAGACAGATGTAAAATTGATGGTGTATCCATTGTTAACAGTTCAGTAAGTAATTAGGTGGCTGCTTTTAATTTGTTCCACGAATGCTTCTGCCATTGTTGCCAAGTAATTGCCCCATTCAGCAGATTTCTGACAGGGCTTCCATTGTGAAGACCTAAGGGACTTCAGGCTATCTTCTTAAGGTGGAAAGGAGGAATTGAATTATTCACAGATATTTCCTGAAGAGTTATCTTTGCACTTGTTCCTTAAGAAAGGAACAAGTGAAAGTGAAAGGCAGCAAAAGAAAGCAAACACCTACGAACAAAATTCCAGAGTGATGTCATTGGTCACTAACCTCGCCTTCCAGCTCAATTTATTTTAAATTTCAGTCCATAACTGAATGATATTAATACTTGTTTTATATAATTTAATTTGATGGTATAAGAATAAATAAATTATTTTTTCATTAAAAGTCTGTTGGAATTTGGTATGGAAGGAAATATTTGGCTGTTAATTGTTAACAGGTTGTCAGGCTGCATATGACCCCACATCACCGTAACAAGACTGCTAATTTCAATTTCACAGACTAAATTCCAATTTACAACCTACAGGACAGCTCCATTCAGACAGGAAATCACGATAAATCTGAAAACTTCAGATTTCGGTGTTTCTGTTTGACAAGCTGGATGCAAACATTTTGAGAGAACTTGCTTTGAAAAATGTTTGCTCACTTTTGATCTGAAGTTGTTCGCAAACTTCAAAGTTTTCAGCCTTGATTTATTTTCCTCCCTCTGGAATTGTCTGCTGCTGTGTTTGATTCACACTTGGGATAGACTTAAAGGGAACTTCACAAATTGATCTGGCTGAAAGC